AACCTGTATATTTTAAAAGGGGTTGACATGATTCGAATATGAATCAGACCTAATCCATTGTAGACCCATTTATAACAGTATAATTTACCTATTATATATGACTGATGTGATCTTAACATTATTATTTCTACTATAGTAATTGACAGTATAGTTTTTAACATTATTATGACATTATAATAGCATAGTTCTTGCTTTAATTTTTGGGTTGAAACTTGAATGTATTTTAGTTAATTTTATTGATGAGATTTGATATGTTATTGGTCTCACAATGTTTGACCTATATTTTCACAATTTAAGTGGGTTATTTGGAAGACTATTTTCTCATTTATCTCTCATTCGATTTGAGCTAGTGAATATATTATGTTATTCTTCATACAGAATAGAATATGAACTCATAAAAATTTATACCAAACGACAAGTGAATTTTATTTTAATTTAGACTTAAAATTGATCAAAAATTCAGTTTTTAGAAATAAAAATCTACTTTGCTTCAACAAGTGTAACATTGAACTCAACTGTGGGGATGTGAATCATCTTAAAAGAGAATTGAAACTTAATTCGCGGCTCATCTCTGCCATGCTCAACTTGCCTATGGATGGATATATATATTTCAAGAGTAATGCTAGATTGATCAAATTTTGTGAATAAATTTAGAATTCAAATGACATGACAGTTGATTATTTGAAATTTTTATTGGAGTTCAAATGACATCACACCAATCAAAGAAGTCTAAGTCAACTGCCATGTCATTTGAGCTCTAAATTTGGCCAGTCTAACATTAGTGATACTTTAAACAAGTCGGTACTAAGAATTCAAAAGAACATCTGAAATCTGAAAGCGTACTTTAAGAGGTAACAGAGATAAATTATAAATTTAAATGTTCTGATTTCAAATTTTGACAACCTCTTGAGGTCAGACCAAAAATAATTTATCCCCTTATGAATATTCTAGTTTCAGGGTAGATGATCTTTTTTTGATTAGATCAAAGAGAAAATTAATCGAGATACACATAAACTGGTTTAAACACCCTTAATCGTTGAAAAAATAAAAAATAAAATAAAGAACATCTTATTGATATGAATGGGCCACACCAGAAAATAGTTTGCCAAGATTATTTTCCTTCATACTTCGTCAATTTTTGTAAAGTAGCACGAGTTTGACTAATCAATGATATATTCAAAATCAATGAAACAAAGTGAAATTAAATCCTAATTGGGGAGTACTAAGTATAGTCAACTTAACTTTTCTTTTCTTTTCGTTTTTAGAGTTTGCTTGAAAGGAATGCAGGCGTAGCCGACGTTTAGCCAGGGAGACATACAATTGGAAAGAAGACATTATGGCCATTAGTGGTCGTTGTCAACTTTTAAAATCATATAAATTGCATGTTTAAATTTTATTTTTTTTGATTTATGCTCTACTTATTTATAATTGTGTAATTGGGTTTAAATTGGATTTAGCTAAATTTGTATTGTGTTGAGTTAAATTTTTGTATTTATAGGCCTAACAGGTTCAATTACTTTTAATTTGAACTTGATAAGATTAAATTTAAATTTATTAATTTAATTACGTGTTGGCTTTAAGGTCTTGTGTATAATTACGAGTCTTGGGATACACAATAAAAGAAGTATGGAAGAAGATTGGCTAAAATCAACATTAAGAAAATGAGCAATGTTACATGGACTTAAAAATTAGATTTAATAATTTTAATTATTGATTTCACTATGAATCCTAATATTTATTAGAATTCACTATATATTCAATAATTGAGATTACCAACTCTAATTTTAAGTACATATAACATTATTCTAAAAAAAGACCACTTGTCCAAAACGTTAAGAAAACTAGAAAAGACCTGCGTAACTGAAGGAAGGTATGACATCTATAAATTTATGATGATGTAACACTTAGTACGTCACCTAGGCAACGTGTACACTGCTTTTTATGAGAAAAATCTCATATTGGTAGATGATGAGACCAAACAAGTCGACCACTTCTTGACTTCTCACCACCAGGTCGAATGGGTTTGCCAAAACGTGATCTATGAAAAGGATTTGGCTCCAATAAGTCCTCTCTTCAATTCTATCCACATAATTAGATTCACTTCATTCAACAAACTTTTTCTTGGATTATGTGAAATTGAAAAAAAAATTAAGCTCAATATAAATAGATTTGGAGAATTACAAATTAATTGAAAGATCATGTTATGTTCAAATAGTTATGAATTCTAACCCTTCACAAATCTTAGGACTTTTGAATCAACAATTGAGTTTATAATAATTGGTGTCAGATTAGACATTACGTCATAAGTTTGAGTCATGGAAGGGGAGACTTAGAGGTTGGATTAAAGTGTTTTAGTATTTTGTATGTGTATAGTGCTATCGCGGTTAATACTGGTAGGTTAGTGAAGTCAAAAAAAAAAAAAAAAAAACCATTGGGTTAGTGTCAATAGAGTAAATCGTCATAGATGTCAGTTCTCAGCGTAATGAAATGTTATGTTCAAATAGTTATGACTCTAATCTTCACAAATCCTTAGACTTTTGGATCACCGATTATGTTCATAACAATTCTATGTACATTCTAATTAGGAGAACAACCAAATGGCCAAGAAAACAACAAATTTATTTTGGAAAAAAAGAGAATGAAAGAGTTAATGTAGGCTAAACTAAATCCAACGTTTTCATTGAGATTAATTTTATCGTGTATTCAGAATGACTAATTAAGCAAAAAATGTTGGATTTTGCATAGAAGTTTTCAACAAATAAACATGATTGATTAACCAACTCTACTTGTAACACAATTAGGCCTCATTCAAATCCAAATCTATAGGAAACATACTTGATTTTTCACATAAATATTTTTCTCTCCACTACGTTTTCTTGGTTCAATGACATGGCTAGAGTATGGGATAGCCCACCCCTTGGGCCAAAAACCCCACTCCATCCTTATCATTTATCAAGAATTAGGTGATTTTCACTCACCCTCCAAAATGAGGGTAAAACTAATTATCTTTCATTTCTCCTTAGATCATTTCATGAATACAAGAATTTTGTAGACGGAATATGATATTTGTTGGGTTTCAAAATGATAAATTTTCTTGAGAGAGAAGTTGAATTTGTTGTCATTAGGTGTAACGTGTGTTGATGTGAACACATCTTATAGACAAATCAAACTGATTACGTGTTTGGTAAGAGAGATAAACTTTTCATCCATAGATGAAGAAAATATTCTTTCTTTCTTTGTTATTTGGTATAATGGATGAAAATTTGAAAGGATATATTTTCATTAATTGTTTGGTGTCAAAAGGAAAAACGAATAGAAAGAAAAAAAATATAAATGTAATAGTAAAATGTAATTTAATATTATACCCTCTTATAAAAAATAATTTTTTCATTACCAACAGTAGAAAATTTTTTTTTAAAAAAAAGTTTACTATGTGGATTGTTTCAAGGACGGTCAACAGTAAATAAAAAAAGATATTTGTCACAAAATTTGCCAAGTGGCATGTTTCTATAAAAATCTAGCTGATGCAAAAATAGCACATTTTTAAGGGGTATAAAGGAAATTAAAGAAGAATCTACAATCTCTCCTAGATTTCCATCCCCCTTTTCGCCCAAATTTGAATGGGGAAAAGAAAAAAATTGTGGGCGCGCGATGGATCGACATTCCACTGGTTTTCCCATTGCATCCAATTTTCCATTGGTCCTTAATAGAGAAATCTCCTACTTTCTAATCCATTTTACATTCGCCGTTTTCTATTCATCCTACTTTCTTTCGTACCAAACACGTCATAAGACTAAGTAATATGATACAAATAAATAAATAAATTTAATTTTTTTTGGTTAAATCTGAAACTAGAAGATGGGAACCAGACACCAGGGATCAGGAGCGGAGCCAAACTTCATTCGGAATAGGCAAGTGTCCCCCTCAAATATTTTTTTTTAGTACTTATGTAGATATATATTATATATTTGTATAATACATTACTTGTGCCAATCCAAAATCAAATATAAAAATGTTTGGTCGACCACTATTCACTCAAAAGAATAAAAAAACCAAGCCCATTTAGAAAAAAAAAAAAAAAATTAGGCTCACCAGTACTTAAACCAAAGACCCGAATGAGTACAAAACTAAGTTGAATGCATCTTTAATTTTATACGGCATTGATGTGGACGCAATAAATTATTTTATGTGCTTTGAAAATTAAGTTTGGTTTTGAATTCTCAAACGTAGCCGAAAACCTCTTCCAATGCTACTCTATGTTTGTAAAAGAGTGTATGATAATTCTTCTTCGAGAATGTCAATCTTTACGGCTGATTATGATTTTTATTTACTCAATGCTGTCAAGTATTTTGCCATACTTTCTTCTTCTTGTTGCTTCCTTACACTTTCCCTCGCCTGACTAAAAAATCAAAGTTAAGTTTGTTTAATAGATGTTCACATTCTTCCATCAAAATGCCATTTTTTTAAACACTATTCCTTGAATTATGGTTATCATCAATTTTATATTGCCCCAATAATTGAAGACTCACAAAATTTTGAAGGACTTTATCTCATTAAATCTTTAAATTATGTTATTTGCTTCTATTGATCCCGACACGTTTATATTTTCAGACCATAGAGTAGACTTCTATAATTCAGTTACCATATAAGTACATAATATTTTTTTCCCAATACACGGTGTTATCCAACCGCGTGAGGTGGATAATAGCTAGGATAGCGTTGAAACAGTCAAGAGTCTAGCAAAGACCAGGAGATAATGTTGGTGTCAAGGAAGTGAAGTTTCTGAGGTTAAAGCAAAAAAATATCATATAATTAGGATTTTATTGCTGGTCTTGATTCAGGTGTTGTTAACACACAAAGACAGGACTTTCCTAACCTCCCTCTCTTTCTCTCGCCCCTTCTGAAAAGTCTAAGAACATGGACGCCTTGAGAGTGACGATTCAAATGTCTGACATGACCTCTATTTCCTCCCACTTTCCATTGTCCACCAAACCATTGACTTGGGCTCTATTCTCTCTCTCTCTCTCTCTCTAACCCCGTAACACTCATCTCAGATTTATATATATCACCATTATGGTTGTATTCCCTTAGTCATTTGGGCAACATAGTATTTGTTGTGCATGAAAAATTGTCTACCACCAGTTACAGTGAGAATTTCTCGGAGTTTGTTTTAGTTTATTCACTTCCCATGGACTCAACCTTTGTAGACACATCTCTCACCATCGACCTCAATGTTAATCCTTCACAACATTCTGATGAAATCGCAGTAAGTAGAACTTAGATTTAACAGAATAAATCTACTATCTGCTTTGGTTGCTTCTTTTAACTGTTAAGTTCACCAAGTTTCTTTCTATTTGGAATCAGAAGAGACAGAGTTTTCAATCTGACTTCGTAAATGAAAGCAAGCCTTCAGTGAAAGAAGAGGTGAGTTTTATACATGTTTTCTGTAAATCTTGCCATTACCAAGTACTATATTTCAATTTATATTTGAACCGTCCCTTCTTCGAATGGGTAATCCTTTGGCAAACAGTTGATCACTAATCTATTCAAGCAATTACCTTGCTGAGCATAGAATATATTGAAGACAAACAAGTTGGACCAGTATCATATATTATCCAGTATGATCTACAACTTTTTTGATTACCAAATTAATCATCAATCACTAAGTATTACTTCACTAATCCGGACTAATTCTCGCATGCTCAAGTTAGTAATATGTCTTCACTATTGGGATTGTCCTTTGAAGCAACCTGATGTTCTGATGGAAGAGCTAAACCGGATGAGGATGGAGAACAAGCAGCTAACCAAAATGCTACTTATTGTGTGGGAGAAGTACAGTTCTTTGCAAAGTCATGTACTGGAATTGACACCAAAGGCGTCTGAAGACGTTTGCTCTGAATCGAGGAAGAGAAAGGCCGAGGGAGAAGACTGTGGCAACGTTTTAGGAACTAATGCAAATATTTACAGTAATAGTGATGGAGGCTTATTCAAAAGGGCAAGGGAAATTAAGACAAGTGTCAAAAGGTTTTATGTACGGGCTGATCCATCTGATGCCAGCCTAGTGAGTTCTCAAACATGAATTAATTAGATTCAATTGATTTCGGAAGACTTCGTTGATGCACGAGTGATTTTGAAGCCACCCCTTTTAGTACTAAAACCTTGTGTGTTTTCTTGGCGTGTATAACAGGTAGTGAAGGATGGTTATCAATGGAGAAAATATGGGCAAAAGGTCACCAAGGATAACCCATCTCCTAGAGCTTACTATAGGTGCTCTTTTTCCCCAAGCTGCTCTGTCAAGAGGAAGGTGAGTCGAACCTACCTTCTCTCATATTAAACTGTCAACTCTCTAAAAGTTAAAGTTGTTGGAAAGGGTTAACATAAAATTATATACTTTTAACATGTTTCCTCTGTGTGAGGGCTAGATTTTGGGTCAAACACATGCAAATATTGATAATCATCAGAGTAGTAACGAGATTCGAANAACCGGATGAGGATGGAGAACAAGCAGCTAACCAAAATGCTACTTATTGTGTGGGAGAAGTACAGTTCTTTGCAAAGTCATGTACTGGAATTGACACCAAAGGCGTCTGAAGACGTTTGCTCTGAATCGAGGAAGAGAAAGGCCGAGGGAGAAGACTGTGGCAACGTTTTAGGAACTAATGCAAATATTTACAGTAATAGTGATGGAGGCTTATTCAAAAGGGCAAGGGAAATTAAGACAAGTGTCAAAAGGTTTTATGTACGGGCTGATCCATCTGATGCCAGCCTAGTGAGTTCTCAAACATGAATTAATTAGATTCAATTGATTTCGGAAGACTTTGTTGATGCACGAGTGATTTTGAAGCCACCCTTTTAGTACTAAAACCTTGTGTGTTTTCTTGGCGTGTATAACAGGTAGTGAAGGATGGTTATCAATGGAGAAAATATGGGCAAAAGGTCACCAAGGATAACCCATCTCCTAGAGCTTACTATAGGTGCTCTTTTTCCCCAAGCTGCTCTGTCAAGAGGAAGGTGAGTCGAACCTACCTTCTCTCATATTAAACTGTCAACTCTCTAAAAGTTAAAGTTGTTGGAAAGGGTTAACATAAAATTATATACTTTTAACATGTTTCCTCTGTGTGAGGGCTAGATTTTGGGTCAAACACATGCAAATATTGATAATCATCAGAGTAGTAACGAGATTCGAATGCCGTATTGCTTGTTCTAATATCATTTTAAACCATAAACCTATTAGAGAATGCCTCGATAAACCTATTGTCTACTTGAACATCTGTGTGTGTGTGTGTGTGTTTCTGTCTTTGCATATAGCAGCAGCCAGCAGATCTTGATTGGTTTTTGTGGTATTTACTTTCAATCTTTAGGTGCAAAGGAGTGCTGAAGATCCAACTGTTTTAGTAGCAACCTATGAAGGAGTTCACAACCACCTGCAACCTTCTCGTGCCGATGCATCACTGGGGTTGATCCAAGGTGTGATTCCTGCTACGGCCACTGGTTCAGTCCCTACCATAGATTCAAGGGAAAATAGATCGTGTGGCGATGCAAGAAAGTTGGTTCCAGAAATTGAGGTCCCTGCAGTTAATCCATTTTTGGTTGAACAAATGGTTTCATCCTTGACAAGAAATTCCAGTTTCACTGCAGCACTAGCAGCAGCCATTTCAGGGAGGATTTTAGACTATGATCTAATGGAAACATTGTGAGGACATTGTCTAATATTTATGTGTGTTAGGCTTTCTGGGAGATTATGATGTATTGATTAATGTGAATATGTTTTGCAAAGTATCCTAGAAGTGAGTTTTGTGCTCTGGCTTTGTTATATTGATGCTGTCAACGATATATCCCCAGGCCGGTCCCCTAGTACTGGTCTGGGAGTATATCTTATTTTTGTAAGATGAGAGATTTTATTTCTATATTTTAAACTCGCAATGCCATGATTTTGGAAGTTCATTATGCACAACACTGGTGCGAAATCTGCAATCCTTTGTGTTTGATTTTGGAGCCTGTATGATGTGCAATAACCAAAACTCACAACGATAAGTCAGTGAAACATAACAAAAACTAATTTCCAAAACAGATACTAGTACTTGAAGATGAGTACTTTCACTAGTATAGGCATTGAGAGCTGTGTTATGGCCAAGGGGGGCCATGGCCCCTCAATTTTTCAAAATTATACTTTGGACCCCTAACATTTTTTAATTTTAAAAAACGTACTTTATACCTTTAAAATTAGGATATTTGACTTTCGTTTGTCCCTTGACTCTTGCTTTGGACACATCTAATCATTAGTCATCCAAAATAGTCCCATGCATTACATTTATCCAAAATTTAATGATTTGTGCATAACCAATGTTACAATTCATACAAAATATCACTAATAAGAATAATTAATGGTGTTGTGTGTTCAAATGGGTAAAGTGAAATTAGGAACATAGTTTAAGGCGATCAAATGTAATTTATCCAAACACCATAGATTAGGCATAAAATTGCATAGAATATATATTTTTATGAGATCTGCACACTCCATGTCTCATTTTGTTTGATTTTTTGTACATTGCAGAGAAACCCGAATAACCAACTAAAGCTCTTAAATGACCGCTTGAGGTAGAGGTGCAAAGACATTCATAGAGTTGCCTAGAAGTAGTCACCCTGAAAAGAACGCGTAATAGCCTACTCATAGAGCCCTCTTGCGTCGAAAATGAATAGGGCTAAGAAATTCAGCTTTCCTTCAATGATTATGTTGAATTTAAATTATTGATTATTTGATGACTTATTTTGAATTCTTTTGTGCATCTATTTAGTTTTCTTGACTTTCTTAAAAATAAATACGACTAAACAATTTGATATTAACAATAACTTCTACAATTATNTGATAAAATTGAATTTAAATTATTGATTATTTGATGACTTATTTTGAATTCTTTTGTGCATCTATTTAGTTTTCTTGACTTTCTTAAAAATAAATACGACTAAACAATTTGATATTAACAATAACTTCTACAATTATCTTCCATTGAACAAAAAAATTGTGATTGGATTATTATCAAAGATGAATATAACAAATAGTCCTCTAAACAGAAATAAAAAAAACAAAATAAATCATAATGTCCCACATTTACAGAAAGCAAGAAAAACAAATAATAATAAAGTCTCACATCTACAATATATGGACTTAAAAATTAAATTTTAAAAATAGATTTGATAATCTTGTCCATTGAATAGATAATGAGTCTCAATAAATGTTAGGACCCATAGTGAAATCAATAATTATGATTATCAAGTGTAGTTTTTAAGTTTCTTTTTTAAATTCACGTAACATTGCCCGTATCTATAACAACTCAAATACCATGTTTCCAAATATATAGGAAAATATTTCTATATTTCTGAAGAAAAAAACAGACTTCGAAAACACCATCAACTTGCTATTTGGATCAAACCGAAACGCGGGCCCCAAAGAAGTGGCCTTGAGGGTGGGTCAGACCGAAGCCCATGGACATAGGCTCCGAGCAGAATACAAAGCATTCACAACACAGCACATGGTACTTGGGGAAAGCAAGACTTTCGTGTACTTGGTTAGCCTATTAAACTATGTGTGGTTCAAGAGCCCTCGACCCTTTGGTTGTGCAAATGTCTATATTCAAAAAGAACAAACCGGTCTGGGCTAGCCCATCAGATTGGTCAAAAATTTTATCATGCATCCCAACGCAAATCCATGGTGGTCCAAGAGCCCAGGCACTATTGGCTAGACAGAACTACTAATTTCTAATTTTCAAACGATCCAATACATTTAGATGTATATGGATCAAAGCCCATCAGATGATTGTCTTCGATTCGTAACTTATTAATTGTATTTCGATTGACTTAAATTCGATTCGTCGACAGACTTAAATGCAAGTCAAAAAAATAGTTGACACTGAAGAAAGATTAATAAGTGGCCAAGCCAAACGAGTCCTGGTTGTTACAGCCATTTTTCTCACAGGGGATGAACACGAGGAGAAGCTTTTGTGGCCAAAAGCTCTCAGCTTAACCCTATTGAGTACTAAAAAGTGACTGTAATTCTCTCATTCCGTTAAGCTCAAGTGAAGGAACAATGCCTTGGGAAGTAGAATCTGTAATTTGTAAGAGATTCGGATCGATTTATTTGTACAAGATTGTAGGATCATAAGATTTTTTATGGTATGCTACGAATCGGAATTGATAACCATGCCCCCTCCCCTTCACATGAGTAGTAGCGAGAGTCTTGAAGTTTCTTTGTTTTACAGACTCTAGCTTTACTCCTATTCAAGTCGCACAAACGTTTTATACAAACTTTGTCTATGGGATACAAGAAACACAAGTTCTTTCCCCTGATAACAAAAGTACTTCGGAACCTTCAATTTCATTTAATCTCTCCCTAATTATTAGAAAATTGAAAAAGAACCCATGAATTTCATTTTATTTTCCAATGGGAAAGTGAGATTGAGGGAATATTTGGGATCAAGTATGGACTTATATAGAATGAAATTTGTTTTGTGTGAATAAACATTTGAACTGTTTTTTTTTTTCAGTAGACAAGACTAGAAACCTTCTCCCCCAAACGCTTTTTTTTTTATAAGAGCAATGCTACATAGACTTATAAAGTTGAGTTTTGGGATAAAAAAAAAATTGTGAATGTGAGTTCTATCCATAGTTCCACTCCTAAGTCACATGGAGTGGAAGCAGAGAGTAAAAGCGAAATTTTAAATTAGAAAAAAAATTAGAACGAAAACACTTTAAGAACATTATATATATATTAGAAATACACCACGTGCGTTGCATGTACACAAAAATTAATAAAATCTATTAGGTATATATATATATCCGAATTAAATATAATCTCAAATTTATCGGATCTAATTTTTCAATGCTCGTATTATATTATAGGATTATGAAAACTTTGTACGTTTCCAAAATTTGTTGTTCTACCTATAAAAAGAAAGATTAAAAAAAAAAAAGTTAAAGTTATATTTTTTTTAGAATTTTGTAATTGAGAATAATTTTTAAGTGGTGCTTAAGAAAATAATTTTTTTGAAATTCATTTGACTTATAATTATTTGAATAAAATAAAAATAATAATCAATATATTAATCATATTAGAATCCTAAAGTAATTATGAATTAGTTAAATCAATTGAGATAAAATTTAATATACTGCTCTATCGTATATATTATAAAACATACTAAAATTCTTAAAAATTCAAGTTTTATTTAAAAAATACACTACAATCTATTTTTTTTTATAAAATCTTAATACAACTTTGAAAGTCTATTATGACAATAGAATTATAATTATATAACATAAATTAATTTAAAAAAATTATATATATGATTTTTTTTTATCTTAGAAATGAATTGATTAAACATTTTAATGAAAGAAAAAATACACATATGTAGGCATAATATTATCTTTACATATGAGATAAGTAATATTTGATTGACGTAATTTTTGAAGATTTTTTGGACACTTCATTGAAAAAATAATGATACATATTTTTTAAAGGTAATATAATCAATCAAAAAGTTTAATAAAAACTTATATTTATACATAGAAAATAGATAATTGAAAGAGATATTAGAGATAATTTAGGGATTTAAATACATAAGAATATGATGATAATTTAAATATTTATAAGAATAAGAATATGATGACAATAAAATTAAAAATAATTTCTTTTTTATGTTAAAGTATTTCTATAAATAGTATAAATATAAATATAGATATACATATATATTTACAAATAAGCCCCGGACTTGGCCCGGGCGGCTGATTTTAGTTAGATTCTGATTCTAGAGGGTTTGAAAATGAGGACAAAAATAAAAGTCCTAGAAACAAGCGCCGCCGCGGTTTCGAATAGAAATCTAGACGCCCGTGCAAGTTACATAATACGAAAAGACATTTCGGTCAGTGGTCAATGCCCCAGTACTGCTATTGACTTCAAGTCTTCGTCGACCATTGACCCAAACTTTAAATCCAGACAAACGCACTTCGAATTGCCGTACGCTCACAAACATGTTTTGTTTTGTTTTTTAATATATTTGTTTAAGGATAACCAATACAAATAGACTTACATAGTAGATGTGAGTACATGTAAATTGCGAATGTGCATAATAATTTTATAAAATCATGCACATTCTAACAAAGAAAGAAAAGTTTGATAATACCATGAAGGTCAGCTCCATTATAGTTTAGTCCAATTACACGCATCTAGCAAAAAAAAAAAGACAATATTCGGTAATGTCTCTTGTAACTTATAAGTAATTGTAAATATTCATAATTTATTCTTGCAGTGATAAATTCAGAATAATTATACCTTGTAAAAATTCCTCGTTAAATGAGAAAAATAAGAAAAGAAATTTGGAGAAGATGTTTTCATTTGGGGCATGTCCAAGGCATAGGCAAATAAGACCATCGTTTAGGGCCTCAAAATAGTAAAAGAAATTTAGGGTCTTAAAATGAAATTTTTTTATAATATTATTGGACTTCATTCGAGACGTAATACATTATGAGAGTTAGATTATCGGGTAATCTTAGAATTCAATGAAGTTCCCTATAAATCTTATGACCACAATATATTAAGTCTTCGTATCGGGTCTACAAAGTAAGTATAACAAACATTGTTTTTTAAACTTTTTAAGATATCTTTCAAAAAAATTTAGGATCCTAGCGTACACCTTGATTGTTTTACCATGCCCGATATTTATATTATACATAAAACAAACATCATTATCTAATAAAATACTTTTGTGGTCTTTTTACAAAATCAATTGTCTAATTAAATTGTCTATCATCTCATAGTTAAGAATTTTAGTTGTATATTTTCTTAGGTCAAATTTGAGGTCTTTTTTCCATTTGGGTTTTTGCTTAATTATTTTTATTTTTGTGTAAGAAATTACTAGAAAAAAGAATTTAATCATGCCTCATTTATTATTCCAGAATCATTCA